TGTGTGTGTGTGTGTGTGTGTGTGTGTGTGTGTGTGTGTGTGTGTGTCTGTGTGTGTGTGTGTGTGTCCCTCTATGTTAGATCACTTTCCTTTCCTCCCAAACCCCTTCCCCATGCAAACAGCTCATGAGGGCAGGACTATAGGATTCTGAGAGTGAACAAGTCCTGTTATAGGCTCCAGTAGGAAAAAACCTGGATGGAAACACAGTTTAGTAAACTGAGACCATAAACCATAAGGTCCTGCTATTCCAGGACTGAGTGTCAGGCCCAAGGAGAAAGTAAAAAAGCAGTATGGGTTAGGACAACAAGAGGCCAGGAAGGTCCCTACCTGTGAAAGACAGCAGAGCAGTCTGTGCATACTGATGTGTGGCTGTCGAAGGGGAAAAGTACATCACCCTCTTTGCAGAGTTCACATACAAAGCCTTTGGCTTGACACCGCTAGGAATGGGAGGAGACAGTAACTGAGACAAATACAGAATAGGGCAGCCCCACCACAAATCTTATCCCTGCTCAGGACAAACATAATTTCCCCAGCCTGCTAACCTCTCTGATTCAATTCTACATGCACTTAATAAGCACCTACTATGTGCAAAGAACTATGTTAAGCACTGAGGATACCCAAAAAAAAAAAAGAGAGAGAGAGAGAGAGAAACAATCTTTGCCCTCAGGGAGTTTCTATTCTACCAGGAGTGGAGAGGATATAATAAGTACAAAGGTTTGTAAATATAAAGGAATATCTGTACCACCAACTGTGGGCTCAGGAAAGACCTCCCCCCACCTCCTTTAAAAGGGGCAACTAACCTGATCCCTGAAGGAAATGGGAGGTGAGGAAGGTGTATTCCAGGCATATTCCAGGCATGAGCAATAGCTCATGCAAAAACATGGGGTAAGAAATGGCTTGTCTGTCTAAGAGCTAGGAGGCCAGTTTGGACAGAACATGAAGTACACAGGAGGGAAAAATAAGACCTAGTCTCAAATGGTAGGTGACAGCCCAGATTGTGAAAGTCTTTAAATTCCAGGTTGAGGAGCCTGTGTTTTTATTTTAGTGGCAATGGGAAGCAACTGATGATTTTTCAGTAGAAGAATATGACACGATTAGACATGAATTTTGGAATATTAATTTGGTAGCTGTGTAGCGGACAGCTTGAAAAACCGATAAACTAGAAATAGGGAGATTCTCAGGCTACTGAAATAGCTGTGGTCCCAAGTAATGAGGGTCTGAACTAGGGTAATGGCTATGTGAGTTGAGAGAGGGGCATATAATAGAGATTATATAGGTAGAATCAATAAGACTTTGCAATTGACTAGACATGAGAGAATGAAGTGTCAATGATGACTCTAAGGTTGTGAATTTCCATCATTGGAAGGATGGTGGTACCCTCCACAGAAACGGCTAAAGGAGGGATGGGATTCGAGGAAAACATAATGAATTTTGTTCTGGACGTGTTGAGTTTGATTGGCCAATGAGACATCCAAATAGAGATATCCAATACACTACTGGTAATACTTGATTGGAGTTCAGAAGTTATTGGGGCTGGATAGACAGATGTGGAAGTCTGCATAGAGACTGTGAATCAATCCATGGGATCTGATGAGTTTACTCACCTGCCACAAATTCTAGCTGGATACCTGCCCTGCCCCCTCTCTCCAACCACCCTCTTTTAGCTCTCACAGAATGAGAAGGGACCAGGAACTGGCCAGATCTGCCTTCCTCATGTTTGTTTAGTAGAGAACATTAACTCTGACCCACAAAGCTAGGGTTCAAGTGGCTTGTTACGTCAGGTCAGAGGAGTAATAAAACCCCAAAAGGCAGGAGGCCACTCTCCTCTCCCCTGCCTTGACCACACCTCACCTCACAGTCTAGCTTGATGTGTTTGGCGAAGAGAGTATGGATCTCTGTCAGAGAGCAGCTGAGGCGGCCAATGTTGATGTCCACTAGGTCCTGCAGGGAATACATCTCATCGTTCTCCACAAAGTGCTGCCGGTCCTGGAGCTGGAAGGCCAGAGCTGCTCTGGACTGGGAGGCCGGCTACTCACAGGTCACATCCATCCTACTTACTGACATCCATTTCCTGCACAGCCCGCTCCAACCCCTGGGTCTCGTCATCCTAGGCAAACTTACCCAGCACTCCCTCAACCTCCTTAAGAGTTGAGAGTTGGCTAAAGGGGGAAGAGTGGAGACTCTAAGGGGCCTTATTACAACCATATTTACCTGGGCTCATTTGGTCTAGATGTCACACTAGCCTCAAATGAGCAGAAATCAGTTGATTTAGGGGCATTAATATCATAGATGAGATGCCAGTGTGACCAAACAAGTTAATGTAAACAGGCTACATCCCTGAGCGTGTCTACATACACGCATGCTCTGTCCTATGTGGTCTTCTCCCTTCCCATATGCTTTCCCAGAAGTGGTCTGACCTGTAATAGTAGACGAGCTTCCATGGCCTCTTTACAAGTAATGAAATATGGCTTCATGAGCAGGATATCCTGCCGCAGTTTCTGCAGAGAAGGTAGAAAAAATGAACCACCATCACCAGTCAACATCAGAGCCCTAGGAAAAGGTGCTATAGTCTAGATTTTAGCGCACACACTTCATTTGTGGCTGCTCTTTCTCACCCTTACTCAAGTCTTAGAGAGGCAGCATGGGGTAGTGGACACAAGGCCGACCTCAGAATCAGGAAGACCTAGGTTCCATTTACACACACACTGGCAGAGTGACCAGGGCAAGCTGCTTAATCTCTCAATGCATCGGGCAACTCCGTAAGATATAAAGTGCAGAGAAGGTACCGATCTGCATTGGTATTGGAAGTTCCCTACACCAATAGTTCCCTATACCAAACTGAAATAGAAATGAATCCCTGTAGGCAGCATACTTTACTTAGAAAACCACAAATTAACATTCTCTATGTTGTGTCATATTTTAATTTATTTCATTAAATACTTCCCAATTACATTTTCATCTGGTTCAGGCCATACTCTAAAGTTTTGCTAATTGCTTTTGGCACCTACCTCTTCCCTAAACCAATAGAATCACAGGGACAGCCCTCCCCCTCCCAAAAAAAGGTACCTATGCCTTAGAGCAGCAGTTCTCAAAGTACGGTCTAGGGGCTGTTTGGAGGCCCCAAGATCCTTTCAGTGGGTCCATGAGGTTAAAACTATTTTTATAATAAAACTAAGATGTCTTAATTTCAAATACAGTAAACAATAATAGATAAACAAAAGCTCTTTGGGGGAGGGTTCTAAATCATTTTTATGAGTCTAAAGGTGTTCTGAGATCAAATAGTCTGAGAACTGCTGCCCTAGGTCAGCTCTGAGCATTCGTGTTTGCTCTATTCAGGGCACAGACACCCCCAAATTTGACATTTTACTCTCATTTATCTCCACATCTAACCAGGTATTGAGTCATGCTTTCTACTTCTCTTGCATACACCCTCTACATCCCTCTTCTCTCCATTCACACAGCCACAGTCCTAATTCAGGGCCTCAACACAACTCGCCTAGACTATCCAGTAATCCCCAAATGGTCTCTTTCCTATACAAGCAATCATTTACCCAAAGTGATATTCTTAAAACACAGGGCTAACCATGTCATTCCATTACTCAAAAATGTCCTATGCTTACAGAAGACAATACAAACACTTGGGAGTAGGCAGCTAGGTGGTGCACTGAATCTCTAGAGTATCAGGATGAGTTCAAATCTGACCTCAGACAATTACTGTGTGACCCTAGATCACTTAACCTCTATTTGCCTTAATTTCTTCATCTGTAAAATGGGGATAATAATAGTACTTACCTCTCAGGGTTGTTGTGAGGACCAAATGAGATAATAAGTGTTAAGCGCTTAACATAGTGCCTGGCACAAGTGCTATATTTTGTTGTTGTTCAATTGTTTCAGTCATGTTCGAATCTTTGTGATCCTATTTGGGGTTTTCTTGGCAAAGATACTAGAGTGGTTTGCCATTTCCTTCTTCAGCCCATTTTACAGATGAGAAAACTGAGATAAGCAGGGTTAAGTGACTTGCCCAAGGTCACACAGCTAGTAAGTATCTGAGGCTAGATTTGAACTCAGATCTCCTTGACTCCAGGCTGGGCACTCTATCCACTGCATCACCTAGCTGCCCAAGCCCTATATACATGCTAATTATTATCTGTTTGACTCCTAAGTCCTATTCACAATCTGGCTCCAGACTACCTTTCCAGGTGATTTACATATGACTCTCCTTCACATATGTGTTCCAACTAGACTGGCCTGGTTGATGATCCTTGCACAAGAAATTCCGCACAGAACCCCTTCCCATGACTGGATTCCCCCTCCTCATCTCTGCCTTCTAGAATCGCTCACTTTCCCACAGCTCCACCCAGCGCCAGCTCTTTGTGTCCTTCCTACTCTTTAGCTATTGTCCTCTCCCCATTACCCTGCATTTACTTTGTATACCTTTTGTTCTTATAGATTGTAGCACAACAGTATTTCAGTCCCTAGAAGACAGGAACTGTTGTTCTGTTTCTGTCATGCTATCCCTAGCACGGTTCCTGGCCCATAAATGCTTGTTGAATGAACAAATACCAAACGTGAAGAGATCTAGAATCAGGGGGTTCCTGATCCAAGAGCCCTTCCTGGGGCTGGCCCTTTTGAGCTTACCCGGATCTCCACCAGCTCCTCCACATAGTTGAATAAGAGCGGGTTGATCTCCCGTAGTTTGAGCACTGGCCTGGACACCATCAGTGTGAGATAGCGCATGCTGCATCGAGATACCTAGGGGAGGACACCACCCTTACCACCCAATAATTGCCTCCCTGGGCTGTCCTCCCTTGGCCTGGGTCCAATAAGAGGGTGATTCCCACCCCCACCCCCACCCCCACCTCCCTTCTTTTCTTTGATTCAAACAGCCCCACCTGCAAGGGAAAGACAGGGTGGGACTTGGGGAAGTGGTCCAGGTGAGCCTCCTCACCTTTCGAGGCTCAAAGTCCCAGTTGTGAATGACTCGGGCAGGAATGACGGCCAGGTCATTCCAGTGGCAGTTACTGCAGTAATACTGACCAGTGTAGTCACACTGCCGAGCTTCACTAGGCACACCTCCTAGGGGGAACAAAACAAAACCAAAATATAAATAAAAGCAAATAAAACAAAACAATATACCAAAGCAAGAAGAAGGATATTTTTAAAAAAAGGTCAGGGCCTAAATACTGCTCTCAAATCAATCAAGTGCTGTCCTCAGAGATTCTTGTTCGACTGCCTCCAGCTAATATCAAAGGCAGTCAGTGTTGAGACTCAGACCCAGGTCTCCTGACTCCCAGTGTGCTGTTCAATATACCAGGGGTTCTTAACTTTTTTAGTGTCATGAACCTGGTTTGGGGAAGCCTACAGACCCTTCTCAGAATCAGATTTTTAAATACATAAAATACAATAAGCTTATAAAGAAAACCAATTATATTGAAATATAAGTTCAAAGAGTCCATTTCTATACCATGCTGCCTGTCTAACCTTATTTCCCAGTGACTGTACCTTAGTCTTCCCCAGGATAATCCCATCTCTGCTACAGCCAAACTTCAAACCCACTGAAACTGATTCCCTCTGCCACACACACTTGCTTATGCCTCTTCCTACCTGGAATACCCTATCCCTCTCTCCTCTATAAGTCATTTTCTTCCCTCAAAGCCCAGCTCAAGTCTCTGTCTCTTCATCAAAGCCTTCCCTGACTAGCCCAGCCCTCAGGGATCACCCCCTCCTCAGAATTCCTATAATACATATTTTCATACCATGAATCTGGTAGTTAACTTCTCTCTTATGGCATTAATGATCTTCTTAGGTCCCTGTCCTATCTTCCAAACTATATTATAAGTCCCTTGACAGCAAAGCCCACGTCTTGGATCTTTTATCACAATCACCTAGTACAGTGGCCCTCCATATGTCTTATATTCAATCAATGATTAAGAGGCCCTCATGCACACTCCCGTGCTTCCCTATTCTCTTGCTGCCCTCCTCCTCCATCAGGATATACCAAGGCTGGAGCAATCAGTGGGACAGGCATATGGAGCACACTCACGAAGAGACACTGGTGCCCGGCATTCAGCACAGCGATAATCTTGACTATCTAGGCCAGTCTCTGGACAAATGTTCAGCTCGTACTCTGCCTGGTGACTGACCTTCGAGCGGACACAGGGCTTGGAGATGAGGTTCAGGCACTTGCTATGACATCGATAGTAGCAACCTGTAGCAGATTAGGTAAGAGGTAAGAAGACATAATGGGCCCCATTGAACCTCATCAACTCTCAACTCCAGTGTTTCTTCTCCCAGCCTTGGAAGGGTCTATGGTCCTGGTGACTCACCTGTGCAGGTATACCACGTCTGGATCAGGCCCCAGATGATGGTGCTACATTTGTCACAACTCTGCTTGACACTTTTGCTCTTTTCCTTGTAGAACCGGTGCTCAAGGAGGACACGGATATTGGGTTCATCTTCATTTGGATCCTATAGCATGGAAGCAGGGGACATAGGTGTATGAAGGGGCAGAAAGAGATTCCTTGAGGAGTCCTCTTCTCCCCTCCTCCCATCACAAACTGACTTCTCAGTTCACGCCTCTCATCTTTAAAGAAAAGATGATGCAGACCATCGGGCTATATTCAGGTTACTATTCTCTCCATGTTCCCAGGGATACTCACTCAGTAAACTGGGACTAGGAGTCTGAAAAGTGGCTAATTTGTTTTGGATGAGGAACCCTGCAGAACATGCTTCCTGATAATCCTGAACTGCCTGGAGACCTTTCCTGATGGTAGCAATTTGCCTTGAGCTCCCCTTGAACAATAAATACCAACGAATAATCATATTATGATTATCAGCTATGGACAAAGGTGCAGGTTATCTAGAAGAATGAGGTGATGCATGTACAAAAATATTTATAGCAGCTCTTCTTGTGGTGGCAAAGAGTTGGAAATTGAGGGAATGCTCATCACTTGGGGAATGGCTGAATAAGTTGTGATATATGAATGTAATGGAATACTGTTGTGCTATAAGAAATGATGAGCAGGCAGACTTCAGAAAAACCTGGAAAAACCTGTATGGACTGATGCTGAGTGAAGTGAGCAGAACCAGGAGAATGTCGTACACAGTAACAGCAACACTGTGCGAAGATAAACTTTGATAGACTTAGCCCTTCTCAGCAATACAATTATTCGAGACAATTCCAAAAGACTCATGATGGAGAATGCTGTCCACATCCATAGAAAGAACTGTGGAGTCTGAGTGCAGATCAAAGCATACTATTTTCACTTTTTTTGTTTTTTCTTTCTCGTGGTTTTTCCCTTTTGTTCTGATTCTTCTTTCACAACACGACTAATGTGGAAATATATTTAATATGATTGTACATGTATAACCTGTATCAAATTGCTTCCTATCTTGGGGAGGGAGAAGGGGAGGGAGGAAGGGAGAAAAATTTGAAACTCAAAATCTTATAAAAGCGAATGGTGAAAACTATCTTTACATGTAATTGGGAAAAAAAATAAAATACTATTAAACGGGGGGAAAAAAAAGAAATGAGGTAATGGTTCCTGTCAGATTACATCTAGGATAGTGCATTCAGTTGTGGGTACCCTATTTTAGAGAGTATATCCAGGGTGACAAAGGGGTTGAGGACAATACCACACAGGCACCAATTGGAAGAAATGGGGGTGTTTATCCTGGAGAAGAGAAGTCTTAGTGGGGAAATGAGTGGTAAGTATTTGAAGGGCTGGTATGTGTAGAAGGGATTACACTTGTTCTGCTGGATCCTGGAGGATCCAACTAGGATGAAGGGGCAGAAGTTACAGAAAGCCAGATTTAGGCGGCTTCATGACAGGATAAAACTTTACAGTGAGAGTGCTCTGAAATTGGAATGGAAGTTCCCCTCCCGTGAGCTCTTCTAGAGAAGGCTAGCCAGCTATGCAGGGGGCATGTTGCAAAGGGGATTACTGTTAAGTTCAGGTCGGGCTAGATGAAACCTAAGGTTTCTCTCAGTTTTGTGCCAGAGAATGTACCGAAGCAGATAAAGTTGGCAGCTCCTCCCTAGGTTTGTCCCTCTGGACTTTGCCCTGTGACTCTAAGGTACACAGGGCTCTAGGTGGGAGGGATGGGGGTAAGCACACACCTTCAGCTCCTGGAGCTTTAGCCTGAGGTGGATCAGCCTCACAACAGCATCCTTCTGCTTCTCAGAATGCTCCGGCAGCTCCAAGATCACCTGCTTGCACTCCTCGATGGCTTGTCGAAGCTGCTCAATGTCTGAAGCCAGGAATAGCCCCTGCCCACACAGGGCCTAGGGTTAGAGGTGCCTCTCTCACCCCGGTCCCTGCACATGCATCTTTTGAACTCAAGTCAGCATGTCCCTGCCTTGGTACCCAAAGCCAGAGCACCCTCTAACAATGCCTGGAGCTGTGGACTCTTGGCTGTCAGGGCCTCAGGGCTGGGAGACCCCTTCCCTACTCTGTTAAACCAAACTCTGATCCCCCAAACTCAACAATCTCTAGTAGTTCTATATACTCACGAGACCTATTGGCCAAGGTCATACATTCTAGTGCCTACAACTGGCGAGAGAGGCAGCCTTGGAGTCACAGAGCTCAGAGGAGAAGTCAGATGATGGTCCCCCAACAGAGCACATCTGGGACACTGCACTCAGTTCTGGGCACCACATTTTGGAGAGGACACCAAAACACTGGAGCATATTCAGAGGAGGACAACCAGGAGGGCAAGGGGCCTAGGCATGTTGCCATTTAAGGATCAGTTGGAGGAAATGGGGATGTTCAGCCTGGAGAAAATAAGTGTTGGTGGGGGCGGGGACAGGATATCAAGCATGTGAAGAGTGGTCATATGGAAGAAGGATTATATTTGTTTTGATGATAATTGCCTCCCATTATAGAGGAGGAAATGAGGCCCAGCAAAGGAAAGGGACTTGCTGAAGATCAGGTAGTGAGTTAAATCCAATTCAAGAAGCATTTATTAAATGCCTACTGCTATGTGCCAAGCACTGGAGACATAAGTCCCTTGTCCTCAAGGAACTTAAGAGTCTATGAGGAGGGCCAACATGGACACAGAAAATTAAACATAAAAATTCATATACAATAGGGTGAATCAGGAATGGCCTCTTGCGAGAGGTAGAACTTCATATGGGCCATCAAAGGGAGCTAGGGATGAAGGTAAGAAGGGAGCGAATTTCAGCCATGAAGCATGGCCTGTGAAAAGGCATGGAGATCAGGATTGGTAGCAGGGTTTGGACTAGAACCCAGGGCTCCTGCCCTCACAGTCTAGTGTAGTCAGGAGGAAGGGATGGAGGGAAAGGTGATCACATTATGATGTTCTCCCTCCTTCCTGGATCTACTCAGGTCAAGGAAGAGGCCACTGGGAAAGTGTGGAGGCTGAAGGTGACCCAGAAGGAGAAGTGAAATCATGATAGGCCAGAATACAGGTTCTTTGCCTTTTTGCATTTTGGACCCCTTTGGCAGTCTGCAGAACGCTATGGACCCCTTCTCAGAAAGCTTACAAAGGAAACCAATTATATTGAAATAGCTATTAAAAAAAGCAAGTTCATGGATCCCCTCAGGTTAAGAACTCTTAGACCAGGGACAATACATGAAAGGACCAGAGATAATAGACACTCAAAATCTGGCTACACCAGAATCCTTTGTTTTGGGGAGAGGGAGGAAGAAATTCCTCTCCCACACCAACAAGAGCCCAAGTGAGTTTTCAGTAGACAGATTTCACCACCCAGGGGTACATACCACAGGACGAGAAAAGTGGTCCTCAGCCAAGCCCAGGTCCATCATGCGTTCAGTACACCTGAACTCTGGTTCCTGATGGGGCGGATCCAGCGGTGAATCTGCAATGGGTCACAGAAAGAGGGAAAACGAGGAATAGGGATGAACCAAAACATCTGACCTTGTTGTTTTTTACTTTCTTCCCCCAGTCTTTAAGATTCCAAGACTTTTAATCAAGGGATTGGTTTGTTTCAGTACCCAAACCCAGAGCATCCACTAGAGCTAAAAAATGCATTCTAGCTGACTTTGGGGCTTTGAACTCTAGACTCCTGATCCCTCAGGACCAAGGGGAGCGCCTTTCCTACCCTTCCCCACCCCCCCATTTCCAAATCCTTTTTGGCAGTCTGTTTTTATAGCTTTGCTCCCTGTATTCACCAGGTTTTATTTAGCTAAGTCCCCTAGGGCAGAGGGCAAAGTCATGAAGGGCATTGGACACTAGACTAGAGAAGTAGAACCTTTCTTTCATGTTTGCAAGCAGAAGTGGGCTGAAGATTACTACTGTAAGGGAGCAAGAGAGGGCATAGAAATGCACGTGCCCCCAGAAAATTATGGATTTTTTAAAAAAGTTAAACATTTGTTGAATATTCAATCATAAAGATGTTAATTTTTATTCATCAAAGAAACAAATCTAACTAAACTTAATTTATTTAAATTAACAACTAAACTTTATTTTAAAAATAGGAACTTTCCCAAGGGTTCCTTTTCATTAAACCTTTCCCTTCTCTTTTCAGCCTTATAGTCTTAGCTAAAAAAAGCATCTTTCCAATTGGACCCTGATCCCCTAGTCATTCATTTTGCCATCAAGTATAAGTAGTATACTGGAGAGGGAGATGGCAAACCATGCTAGTATCTTTGCCAAGAAAACCCCATGGACAGTATTGGTGTGCACGTGGACAGTGTGGTGGTCCACAAGGACCCGAAGAGTCACACACGACTGAATGACTGAACAACAATGAGTAGTGTAGGTCAAGGACCAATGACCAGAGATGGAGCTTTTAAAAATTTTCATTTTTGTGGAGGGCCCCAAAACAACCAAGCCATGCATCCTTCCTCTTCCCCAACAAGAGCCTCAGAAAGGCAGCAGAAGGTAGGCGAGTAGGAAACAGGGAAAGGAAGTGGTGGCAGCAGGGGCAGTAGCAACCAAGTGTCCCCAAGGACTGAAAAAGATCCTATTTCCCCTGGGATCCTGGGCAGCCTCCCCATGACAAGATGGCTGCTGGCAACGAGAGTGTGTTTGAGTACATCTGGCACATGCAAGTGCCCATGCATGCATGCGCACCCACGCATGTGCGCGCACGCACACACACACACGCACACACACACACACACACACACACACATCTATGAGGGAAGGCAATTCTTTTCCCTTCCCCAGCCCAGAACCTGACATGATACAAACCACGGCCTGCCATTCAAGTGACAGCAGCCTACAAAGTGTAACTTTTAAATGATCCAAGATAATTCCAAAAGACTGATGATGAAGAATGCTACCCACATCTTGACAAAGAGGTGACTGGACTAAATATGCAGAACAAGATACACATTGTTGGACATGGCCAATATAGGCTTTGTTTTGTTTGACTATGCATATTTATTACAAGGGTTTGGTTTCTTACCCCCCCACACACCTCTGAGGAAGATGAGGGAGAGATAATAAATTCCTAATAATAGAAAAAAAAGAAAAAAAAGAAAATTATGAAAATTCATATGTTATTTGGGAGGGGAAGGTGGGCCCTGGGCATTGCCTCAAAACCTTCTCCCATTAGTAACCCAACCTATGATGGTTGGTCAGATGAGCTAATCATCTTGGAAGCCATAAAGTCAGTAGAATGTAAGTTCTTTGAGGACAGGAACAGTGTTCATTGTGTCTTTGTTCCCCTGGAGCCTAGCACAGTCCCTAGCACGTAGTAGGTACTTAATAAATGTTTGCTGAACTAAAGAGATAAGATACAAGTTCAATCAGGGGTCATGGAGGGGATGGTAGGGGACAGCAGGTAGGTACCAGAACGAGGTGGTCCAGGAGGAAGGAAAAAGAACACTGATTTCACTGGTTTTGCCATTTTGAGTAACGAATGCATTCTATTATTAGGAATTTATCATCTCTCCCTCATCTTCCTCGGAGGTGTGGGGGGGTAAGAAACCAAACCCTTGTAATAAATATGCACGTCCTCCTCTTCTTCTGCCTCCTCCTCCCCATCAGGGACCCTACAAGAATGAACCCTTCTCCCAGCTCAAGACATTTCTTCTCTGGGAGAAGATATTTGCTCTGTTCCTTCCCAGACCTGTTCTGCAGGAATCCTGAGGATAAAAAACTGCCCCAGCTGTACCTGCCCAGAGGGAAGGGGCCCTCCTGGGTGCTGTTTCTCCAAAGGACAGCTGATTCTCCTTTTCTAACCAGCTCTCACGCAAGCAAAGTGAACTACTGATTACTTGTTATTAATGATGAACCAGGAACACAGATGAATGAAATCCCCAAACAATCTCCAAATTCAACTACTTCCACCCCTAGAGTTGACATCTTTCTCTTCTTATTGTTTCTCTTCTGGCGAAGAGGCTGTAATAGCCCAGGCGGGACAGTCATCGCTGTGAATTTAAGAGTCAACAGTCCAGAGGTTCAACTCAATTCAATTCAACAAACATTTATAAGCATCGACAATGCCAGACACTTCACTAGGTGCCAGAAATGCAAAGGCATAAGAAAGATCAGGCCCTGCTCTCAAGAAGCTTACATTCTATTAGTTCAAAATAACACGTAATGAGAAATAAATGCAAAATACAGACAAAGTCTATCAGGGTTTTCTTTGCTGGGGAGGGTACTAACCACCGGACAACAACTAACATTTATTTTGTTCCTACAATGTGTCAGGCACCATGTAAATGTTTTACAAATATCTGCTATGATCGTCACAACAACCCTGGGAGGGAAGTGCTATTGTTATCTCCATTTTATACTTGAGGAAACTGAGGCAGCCAGAGGTTAAGTGACTTGCCAGAGGTTAAGTGACTTGCCCAAGGTCATACAGCTACTAAGTAGAGATCAGGAAAGAAGCCTTCCTGTAGGAAGCAGTCCTTGAGCTGAGCCTTAAAGGACGCTAGAGATTCTTTTTTCTCAACAAAAACAACAAAAAGAATAAATGAATCTTATTTTTTATTGCTATCTTTTCTATATCACCTCAGTTTCAGAATACATTCATTTTTCCCCCTACCTACCCAGGCATCACTTATAACAAATATAAAAAGAAAAAAGAAAAAAGAGTGGGGGGGAAGCAGTTCCACAAAGCTATCACATCAACTGTGTCTGGCAGTAGCTGTAACACCTCATATCTACAGCCCTCCACTTCTCTAATGAAAGAAGGGAGGTACATTTTCCCAACTCCCTGGGGCCAAGCTTGGTTATTACAATTATAATGTTCAGTTGGGTTTCTTTTTGTTCTTTCCTTTTATACTGTCATAGTCATTACTTACATTGTTTTCCCGGCTTTACTTAGGAAACTAGGAGTTCTAATGGAGTGGTGGGACCTGGACCCCAAAAGCCCAGGTCCCACCCTCCCATAAGTTCTACCCTAGGTAAAGAGGGATGGCATTCTAGACCCAAGGAAGGAGGAGATCAGGCCCCAAGATGTTCCTTCTGGGTGAAGGGCTGGGAGCTGGCGTAAGGGTTAGCAGCAAATGCTAACCTGGACAATGGGCCAGAGTAAGGCAGAGACAAGAAGAGATGGTGTAGTCCTCAAAGGATTCATAGATTTCGAGCTGGAAGGGACCTAGAGGTCACTGAGTCTAACCCTCCCATTTTACAGATGAAGAAATTGAGGCTTAGGGAGAGGAAGTGACTTAGCTCATGTCACTAAAGCTGAGCCAAGATTTGAACCCAGGTGTTCTCACTCCAAATCCAGGGTTCTTTCCACTGTCCTCTGCTATCTCCCTATGGGCTCCTCTCCCCTTCAAGCACAAAGAGTACTCACCTTCAGGAGACAGGTCCTCAGGCTCCTTGTCAGCCCTCTGTTCATGCTGCCCGCCAGGCAGCTGCTTGTTGAAGGGGTTGAGGTGGCCTTGTCGAAAGCGTGCCAGCTTCTCATCATATTCCATAGCAGTCCAGCCTGTGGAGACCACACCAAGGCAGCCGTGAAGGAAAGAGCCCTTTGGAGCTCCTGGCTTTGCACATAATATGAAGCCAGCTTCACTTCACTCCAAATGTCCTGAGTTCCCTCTCTGAGCCATGAAGGTACAGGCTGCAGTTCCCAAAACTGCTCCTCCCCCCTTTCACTTCCCCTGGGGGGAATCTCAGGATGAGACACCCTCAGAGACCAACTCAAAAAACCAGCCTGCCATCTCTCTTCTTTCCCCTAACCCTAGGACATCAGCCGGAACAAGAAGTTCTATCCCTAGACATGCTGGCTTCTGAAAAAAAAAGTCAAGTCAACAAGCATTTATTAAGCATCTACTACGTGCCAGGCACTGTGCTAAGCATTGGAGATACAAAGAAAAGCAAAAGACAGTCCCTGCCCTCAAGAAGCTCCCACTCTAATGGGGGAGCCAACACGCAAAGAATATATAGACAAAGTAAACTTGGAAATAAGCAACACAGAGAAGGCAAGAGAGACAGTGAAAGTGCAGAGTTAAAACCTGAAATTAGCAAGGCTGTAGAGTAGCTCTTGCTGTCCTCCATTCACTCAGCGACTCCAAAGTTGCCAGGAGCCTGAGGAGAAACATGAATGACAACAAGAGACCGGTCCTCTGGAACTAAGCCAGCAGCTCAGGGATTTGAATTCACAGCCTGAGAAACAGCAAGCCTGGGTCTCCCCAGAGCTCCAACCTAGCCAAGAGGGGTCACGAGAAGCCCTTACATCACCCTACTCAGTCCCAGTTAGAGAACACAACTGGAAAAACTCTGTTCATTTCAAATGTTCTCTCTGGAACAATCAGTTATTCTTTGGCTCTCTTTCTGATCTAGATAAGATTCACTATACCAACCCTTTTGTAAAAGAAAAAATACTGTTATAATAACCTTAATAATATTTTTTTACCTTAATCTTTTTCTTTTTCATTTACTTAGTGTTTTATTTTCCCCCAATTACACGCAAAAACAATTTTAAACATTCATTTAAAAAATTTTGAGTTCCGGGGCAGCTAGGTGGTGCAGTGGATAGAGCTCTGGCCTTGGAGTCAGGAGGACCTGAGTTCGAATCTAGTCTCAGACACATGATACTTATTAGCTATGTGACCCTGGGCAAGTCACTTAACCCTGATTGCTCACCAAAAAAAAAAAAAAAAAGGAGAAGAAGAAGAAGAAGAAAAATTTTGAGGTCCAAATTCTCTGCCTCCCTCTCCTCCCCCCTCACTGAGAAGACAAGCAATTTGATATAGGTTGTACATATGTACTCATGCAAAATATATTTCCATATTAGTCATTTAACAATCATTTCAACAATACAAACAAAATAAGGAACAGAATCCCAAGGAAAGTCATAAAATCTAAAATATTTATATTCGAACAAACAAAAAAGAACTTGAAAAGTTTCACAAAATAATTATTTGCTAGATCCCCTTCCCATCTCTTCTCCATTTGCATCTGTGGTTGATGGTGTTTTTTAAAAAATTCTATGTAGGGGCAGCTAGGTGGCACAGCAGATAGAGCTCCTGCCGTGGAGTCAGGAGGACCTGGGGTCAAATTCGACCTCAGACACTTGACACTCACTAGCTATGTAACCCTAGGCAAGTCACTTAACCTCGATTGCCTCACCCAAAAAAAAAAAAAATTCTATGTGGACAATAATGTGTATATTCTTCTAAGACCACTTTCTTCATTTTGTGTTGCTTTATGGAAATCTTTCTATAGGGGCAGTTAGGTGGTACAGTGGATAGAGTACAGGGCCTGGAGTCAGGAAGACTCATCTTCCTGAGTTCAAATCTAGCCTCAGACATTTACTAGCTGTGTGACCCTGGACAAGTCACTGAACCCTGTTGGCCTCAGTTTGCTCATCTGTAAAATGGACTGGAGAAGGAAATGGCAAACCACTCGAGTATCTTTGCCAAGAAAACCCCAAAGGGGGTCATAAAGAGTAGGACGGGACTGAAAAGACTGAACAACAATAGATGTTTTTTCCAAAATGTATTCTCCACCACTGCCATTTTGACAGCACCATAATGCTCCTTTCCATTCATACATGTACTTCAGCATGTGGTCTATTAAGTACACATTTATTCAGCCATTCTCCCAATAATGAAACAAAAAGGTGATTTCCAGTTTTTTCACTCTTACACATCAGGCAACTGAATATTTTTGAACAACTAACAAACCTATTGCCTTGTCTTTGGACATCTCCTGCCTAAGGTGGATGGGACATGACTTTACCACCTCTCAAACACTGCCTAAAATAGAGGAAACAAAATACTTGTGGCTTATCACATCACTCAGAAATTAATCGAATGCCTTCATTCCTTAACAACCCAAGTTACAATCAATGACAATTTTTATGGTCAGAAAAAAGATGCCTCAGAGATCATCTAGGACGGCATCTTAATGTAAGAAATGGGAGGAGGGGAACAACCCAGAGAGGGTAAGTGACTTGGGTGCCATCACACAGTCTGGACAAGAGCTTTCTGCTTGTCCAGTAAGGTGGGTCTATGGGGGAGGGGGGTTTCAGCACCTTCACTCCACTTGTGAAGATCACAGACTCAGGAAAGCCAGTGACTTGGAGGTCAGTTAGTGCCTAGTAGGGTTGGGGGAATGATTTTTCCTTCAGTTTCAGCATCCTGTTAATTTCACTTCTACTGACAAATCATTTCCACTATCATCATTTCCAGCTCCCTCACCAGCAGCCATGCCTCAAGACCAGAAATCAAAGAACAGGAAGACTTAACCCTTTATGCCTGGAATATCTGCCCAGGGGCCCCATAGTGTTGACTGGGGGCTGCTGCTTCAACTGCTCATTATATAATAATAATTATGATAACTAGTGTTACTGTCTTATTTGATCCTCATAACAACCCTAGGAGGTAGGTACTATCAATATTCCTATTTTACAGATGAAGAAACCGAGGTAAATAGATTGACCTGCCCAGGGTCACAGAGCCAGTAAATATCTGAGGTGGATTTGAACTTGAGTCTTCCTCATTCAAAGTCTAGCACTCAGTCCACTGTGCCATACACCTAGTACACTTATTTCACTTTATTCACCAGCCTCCATGCAGCTTACTACCAGTTGAGCCCCCTTTCTTCCCACTCCATTCTTTCCAGTTCTGGAATTACAATCATATTAACTGTCATTGTTCCTAAAAGACAAATGACTATCTACTTGTAATCTCCATTGTGGCCCCACTCATCAGTTTCCCAAATCAAAATATCCCTCCTGGACCATCAGTTCCCAGTGTAGTATGTATGTTCTCCCGGAGGATGAAGGACAAACAACAATGTTCTCCCCCATTAAAATATAAGTTCCTTGAGGGCAGGGACTGCCTTCTATTTTGTTTTTGTATGCCTAGCTCCCCAGTGCCCAGCACTATCCCTGGCACATGGTAAGTGCTTAATAAATGCATTTTCATCCATTATTTCATTCATTCTTGCCATGCCAACTGCTATGCCTGAGTGTTCTCTTCCTCAGATGTCCCAGAATGACAATACTCTAAAACCCTGCCTAACGTGAGGACCAGCCAGGTTACGATCTTGTGAGGGTGGGGAATTTGCTGACTATGCTCAGGACTTACTCATTTTTGATCTAAACTTTTCTCTTGAACCCGGTCAACCAATAAGCACTGATTAAACACTTACTGTATGCCAAGCACTGGGCTAAGAGCTTGGGATACAAAGAAAAGCAACAGACAGTTCCTGCCCTCAAGGAGCTCATAGTCTAAACATGCAAACAACCATGCCCAAACAGGATAAATGCAGGATAAATTGGAGATAATCTCAGAGAGAGGGCAGTAGCAGTGTGAGGCCTAAGAAAGGCTTCCTGTAGAAGGTGGGATTTTGAAAGAAGCCAGGGTGCCAGGAAGTGGAGATAGGGAGGGAAAGAATTCCAGGTATGGGGGACAGTCAGGGGAGAAAAGTGGCAAGGGGAGACGTGGGCAGGGGTATATTTTCACTTCAGATTTATAAAATTTAGAATTGGAAGTAACCTTAGAGACCACCTAATTCAACCTGCTTATTTTTCAGGTGAGAAAACAAACCATAGCCCAGAGAGGTGAATGACTTTCCTGTGGTCACACACAGCTAGGATTCAAACTCAGGTCTTCCAGAGAAGGGATTTTCCAAGGGATCCTTTGGAGCTGATGCTCTTTGATACACGTAGGAAAAATGAAGGCAAGTGAATCAAAGTATTTCCTAAGTGCCTACTTCATGCAAGGCAAACTATGTTTTTTCCCCACTCCCACAAGGGAACCCAAACCTGACCTTCCTCTCATCTTCATCTTTGCCTGGGGGGGAGGAGGGGAGATGACTTGGCAGTTTAAAAAAAAAATCCCGTTGTTAGTTAAGTTGGCAGTTGGACCAGACAAAACACGCTGAGCAAAAACACAGCTGCAAGGGGTGACTTCACAGAGATGGAATCGAGATGTCCCCTCCCTTGTCCTTCTGGTCCCTGAACCAAAACAAGTAAATTCCAAGCAGGGCCTCTATTGGTACTCACCAACGTGACATGTTATTATGACAGCCACACCTGCTGGTCATCGGAGCAGTCGAAAGATCCCTCTCATTCATTCATTACATCTGGAATCAAAGGCTGTAGGTGCCCAAATCTGGCTCCTGAGTGCAATGTCACAGGGCTTTAAAAGCCATTTTCTGATCAAGACATTATCACTAAAAATTGTTATGCTGACTGTATATCCTCAGGATGCTCTGTCATCTCCTGACTCAAAAGTGGGCAGGGCCTTAGCCTGATGTATTAAGGGGATCACATTTCCTGCACAAATACATAGGAAGTTTCTACTTTTCTGGAGTCTGAAGGAGCTCACTGCTCTTACATGCTCACTCTCTTAGGTACCGAAGGTAGGAAGTATTAGGACCTGAAGTTCGGGGAGAAGATGAGAGGCGGAGGCACACTGAAGAGCTGAGTTCCGAAAAAAGTAGAAAAAGGCTAATAATCTCAAGCCTCAAGACTGATCCCTAAGCCTCAGTTCCCACAACTGTAAAGTAGGGATGATAATACCACTCCATCACTAATTAGCTTGCAGTCTAGTAAATAAAATGTTTTTTTAAACCCTTCGATGTTACCAAAATATGATAATGTCATTAAACCCTGAGCCTTTATAAGCCAGGGTTCAGGACTGAAGGAGTGGGGTGGCTGATAATTCTTTCCCTGCGTCTCCTGCACTGCAAAGCCCCCTTCTCTTGTCAGGCTCCCCACCTTCCCATACCCAGTGCAGCTCCAGTGCCAAGGTAAACACCCCCCAGCCTCGAGGCTAGAGCCTGTTAACGAGATGAGGGTGCCCGGACACCAGAGCCCCTCTCTGGGGTGTTTTTCCTGTGCCTGTCCAATTTTGCACCCCGACCCCGGGGACTTTTAGCCAAGGGGGGACGGTGGGGGTGCGGTGGGACCCTCTAGTGCTTTGACTACAGTGGTCCCAGGCTGGGCCGCCAGCATCCAGGAGGGAGGAGGGGAAAGGACATGGGAGGGGAGAAGAGGGAAAGAGGGAGGGAGAGGTGAAGGAGGAGAGCAGGAAAGGGGGGGAGGAGAAGAAGGAGAGGGGGAAGGAGGAAGAGGGGAGGAGGAAAGGGGTGGGGCAAAGAGGGGGGTAGAAATCTTCCCCACATCCCCCCTCCAGCAGCCGTCCTGCACACTCACCCGAGCATTGCCCGCAGCCCCCAGATCCCGGCGCTGCTGTTACTGCTGCTGAGTCCCCCCAGCCCCAGGTCCGCGGGCTGCTAGCGCTGCCGCGGCAGTCGCTACTGCTGTTTGCTATTGCCACAGCTGCCGCCGCCGCCGCGCCTGCTACATTGTAACATTAGCTGTCCCGGGGAGCCGAGATGAGGCAACCCCAGCGTCCCTAGCCCAGAGAGGCCGCCTCCGTCAGATGGGCTCGGGCCATGCTGCCGCCTCAGGCCAGGAGGTCTACTTACTCGCCTTCTTCCTGCCTTTCAAACCTCTCTCCCTAGGTGACCTCCACCTGGAATATCGTCCTTCCCTACCAAATAAAAACCTCAGGCTATTCCACTTACAAGAGAGTACAGTTTAGCCCCAAAGAAGAGATAAGAGATAACACTCTCCTTTTGCAGAGGTGAGAAATTGGAGATAGAGAGCACTGCATTTAAGTCAGATTTGGTTGCTATGTTGGTTAGTATTTTTTTTTAATTAATTTTATTAATTTATTTGCTTTTAGTTTTCAACATTTACTTCTATAAGATTTTGAGTTCTAAATTTTCTCCCCCTCCCTCAGCTCCCACCTCTCTATGATGGCGTGCAAGCTGATGTTGGCTATACATGTACAATCATATTAAACATGTTTCCACACTGTGTTGTAAAGAAGAATTAGAACCAAATGGGAAAACCATGAGAAAGAAGAAACAAACAAACAAACAAACAAAAAGGGGGAGAGAGAGAAAATAGTTTGCTTCAATCTGCAGTCAGAATCCGTAGTTCTTTCTCTGGATGTGGATAGCATTTTCCATCATGAGTCTTCGGAATTGTCTCAGATGGTTGCATTGCTGAGAAGAGTTAAGTCTATCAAAGCTGATCATTGCACAATGTTGCTGTTACTATGTACAATATTCTCCTGGTTGTGCTCACTTCACTCAGCATCAGTTCATGTAAGTCTTTCCAGGTTTTTCTGAAGTCCTCCTGCTCATCATTTCTTATGAAACAATAGTATTCCATTACATTCATATACTGCAATTTGTTCAGCCATTCTCAAACTGATGGGCATCCCATCAATTTACAGTTCTTGGCCACCACAAAAAGAGTTGCTGTAAATATTTTTTTACATGTGGGTCCTTTTCCCATTTTTATGATCTCTTTGGGATACAGACCTAGAAGTGGTATTGCTGGATCAAAGGGTATAATATATAATAATAAAATATAATATAATAACACAGTGTTATAGCTCTTTGGGCATAGTTCCAAACTTTTCCAGAATGGTTGGATTGGTTCACAACTCCACCATACATTGGTTAGTTTTGTACAGTTTTCCCCCTTTATTTTATGCTTTGCTATAAGGGGTGGACATTGGGAGATACAGGGATGTAAAAGCAAAAGAAACCAAAAATTTAAATTAAAAATTAAAAAAATCCTGTAGAGATCAGTTCTGAGATTGGACTAAGACAAGTGAAGTGATTTACAGAGTTATATTTATGGGGCTGAAATGGCCTATAAAGATGATCTAGTCCAGGGATTCTTAACCTGAGGTGAATAGACCCCTCCGTGGACCCATGTACTTGTATAGCAAAGAAATGACATCTTGATTTTCCCTAATCTCTAAATGAAATTTAATATTTCCTTCAATTATTTAAAAACAGGATTCTGAGAGGGGATTCCTAGGTTTCACCAGAATTCAAGTCTGTTGACTTGGCAACCTAGCTGCCTCTGTTGGTTTCTAATTGTTCATTTATACATGCCTTGTTATTTTGACTGGAAGTCACTGGCTTAATGGGAAGACAGCTTGGCCAGGAGACAGAATACATGAAGTCTGATTCTGGATCCACATTGCCTTAGTCGAGTCCCTTAACCTCTTCTGGGGTCTTAGTCACCACAATTGTAAGATAGGGATAAATCCCTTACCAGCCTAAAAGCAGGAAACTGAACTAAATGCTTTTCTGAAAGTTCTTCCAGTATCAAAATCTATAGTTCTAGATTGTAAGTCCCTTGAGCAGAAGGATCATGGGAGCAAGGCTACCAGGTTGGGCTGCGGATAAGAGCTCTGTGCCTGAATTCAAATCTGTCCTCTGACTCTTACTAAGGGCAACCTTAGTAACCTCTGCCTGCCTCAGTTTCCTCAACTGCAAAATGGGCATTATAATAACACTTACCTCTCAGAGTTGTTATCAGGTTCAAATGAGATCATATTTGTAAAGAACTTGGCATGGTGCCTGGCACATAGTAGACACTTAATAAATGATTGTTTCCTTCCTTCATAACAACAAGCATAGCAGTGGCTATGTCTTAGGAGTTTAATAAGTATGTGTTGTCTAAGGAATGGGGACCATCTGTGTAGATCAGGACTTTTTAAAAAAAATTTATTAATTTATTTTTATTTATCAACAACCACTTCTATAAGCTTTTGAGTTTTAAATTTTTCTTCCCCTCGCTCCCATCTCTCTCCCCAAGACAGCACGCAATCTGATATAGGCTCTACATATAGGTTCCTATTAAACATATTTTCACTGTAGTCATGTTGTAAGGAAGAATTAGAACCAATAGGAGGAACCACAGGAAAGAGTAAACAAAACAAAACAGAAGAAAAAAAGAGCAAATAGTATGTTTCAATCTGCATTCAAACTCCATAGTTCTTTCTCTGGATGTGGATAGCATCTTCCATCATGAGACTTTTAGAGATGTCTTAGATCCTTGCATTGCTGAGAAGGGCTAAGCCTATCAAAGTTAGTCATCGCACAATGTGGCTGTCACTATATACACCATTCTCCTGGTTCTGCTCACTTCACTCAGTTAGATCAGGACTTCTTAACCTCTTTCTAGTCATGTCACCCCCCACCCCCACCTTCCTAGACAGTCTGGTGAAGCCAATGAACCCAGCTCAGAATCATGTTTTTTAATGCATGAAATAAAATACGTAGGATAACAAAGGAAACCAATGATAGTGAAATAAAGATTTAATTTTTTTCCCATCCAAGGTCACAAACCCCCTGAAATCTAACTATAGGATTTGGGGGTTCACAGATCCTAGGTTAAGATCACTGAGGCTAGATAGAATCAGAGCCCCAAAGGATCATAGGACTTAGAGCTTAAAGGGACTTTGGAGAATATTCAGTCTGACTTCTTTATTTTGTATGAGACATGAACATTTACTGTTGTGGCCATCGAGGCAGCAGAATCTGACTGTACTCTTCCTCTCCCTCACTCAGTCTTCATCCTATCTCAGGAATCTGCAAAGCCTGGCCTGGGTGGGGAGGCAGGAGAGAGAGGAAGAGGAGAGGAAGATGGGCTGGAAAGATCAATGGAAAAGGTTACAGGTGTCTTTTCTCTAGTTTCAAAAAGACCCAGTGGTGGGAGGCAGTGAGAGCCGGTCCTGGAGTCAGGAGGACCTGAGTTCAAATTCAGCTTCAGACACATAACACTCTGTGTGTGACTCTAGGCAAGTCACTTAACCCCAATGGCCTCACCAAAAAAAAAAAAAAAAAGACCCAGTGGTAGACACGTGGGATGGATGCTTTGTTGAGAAGAGTTTCAGGCCATCTCCAGGAGTCAGCACAGCTGACCAACGAACCTGACTAACAACAAAGATGGACTGGTGTTAGCCTGTAGGCATGTTATCCTTGGCTTATTAGAAGAGCTGTAACCCAGCTTGAGAAGAGGCGATTGTGACTGATCTCCATTTGTAAATTATGGTAGGGTTTAGAGCAGAGGTGTCAATCACACAGCCCTGTGAGTGGGGCTTGAACCAGCTTAAAAATATAATTGGGAAATTTTAATAAAATAAAAATACAACATAATTAATATCACATTTTAAAGCTAAGTCAATATGGGCCATAGGGATCCTTCTGTATAGCTTACTGGCCCCTTTTCTGTTTGAATTTGACACCACTGATCAGAGATCCTAAGGACACAAGCCTATAGAACACCAGAGTGTGGCTGTACCAGTTTAGAACATAATTGGGGAATGCTTTACAAAATAAATAAAAAATACAATACAACATAGATAATGTTAATTTGTGGTTTTCTAAGTTAATATGCTGCCCACAGGGACCAGTTTCTGCTTGAGTTTGACACCACTGACCAGTCAAACTGGGCTACGTGTGCCCGACCTGTGGTAAGCATTCCAAGCTCATATTGGTCTGATCAGTCACAGTCGGATACACTATACCTTGACTATACAAGGTTCCCTGGCTTTGTTCAGGTGCCAATCTTCTTTCTGCAAAAAGTCTTTCCAGAACTTCCTTAATATTAGATCTTTTCTTCTGTGATTATTTTCAATTTACCCTGTCTAAATCTTTTTTTTTTGGTATGGAATTATTTGCATGTTGGTTTCCTCCTTAGATTGTAAGCTCCTTGAGGACAGGGACTGTGTTTTTGCCTTTCCTTTCATCCCCAGAGTTCAGCAGTGTCCCTGGCATATAGAATTTGTTTAATGAATGCTTCTTGACTTGATTTGAAGAAATAACAATTAAGAAGAAAGGAAGAAAAAAAAACTCAAAGTGGTACCATAGTGCTCAGGGAAGGGGTCTGGCATCTCAGTGCCTGGTAGCAACTACTGCCCTGTCAACAGTCAGTTATGAAGCATATATTAAATGAATTATGTGCCAGGCAGAGTGCTGAGTAAATGCTGAGGATTAAAAGGAACACAAAAACATCGTTCCTGCCCTCAACGAGCTTACGTTTTAACAGAAAGATATCCATCACACAAACGCTTATGTGTGTATATATCTGTGTGATATATGTGATATATACAGCATAAATGGGAAGTAATCTCTGATGGAAGGCACTGGTGTGGGGATGGGAGAGGAGAGATGAGAAGAGGCATTCTGCAGAAGATGGGAATTGAGCTGTCTTTTTTTTTTTTAATTTAATCTTTTTTTTTTCCTTTAGGCAATTGGGGTTAAGTGACTTGCCCAGAGTCACACAGCTAGTAAGTGTCAAGTGTTTGGTCTGAGGCCGGATTTGAACTCAGGTCCTCCCAAGTTCAGGGCCGGTGCTCTATCCACTGCACCACCTAGCTGCCCCGATTTGAGTTGTCTTGAAGGAAAGCCAGGAGGCTGAG